CTAACCTAATAGTTAGAATTGTTTATTGAATGAACTAATAAACCTTGTGCATTACTTTTTCAGGCTACCCCACTGCAGTGGAGTGAATTTTGAAGTGATAGACTACTTTTACGGTTTGTCATAGTAGCAACAGTCACAGCAAGACTTCCTACTGAAACCCATCAGAACAGGCAGACTGGATGGAGGAAAGTTTGATCATCCATGAGGACTGGCAAAATTTTTACAAAGTTCTTCCGTCCGCAGTCCGCAAACAATCGCTATTGAATCAAAAACAATTATAAGACACCACACTTCAACTCAGTAATTTTTTCTGACTCCAATCTGTCGAGTCTACTCCCAGAACTTGATTTTTTGAATTGACATAGGAATGGTCAAGAATCGAAGTGACCAATCCCAACAAGCCGTATACCGTTGAACACTCCATGGAGGGGTGGTTATATATCCGCCTTCGGTGCCTGCTTATCGGTCTCCTGCACGAAGTTATAACCATCGAATTCGCCGTGGCGCCGCCGCGCGTCACAGATACTCGTCGCCCATTCTGGAAAACAAGTTGGACCCGTTGCGCATGGTAAGCAGACTTGTAGGATAAGCCCCGCCCTAACGCTATTGAAAAGGTAATTCAGCATCTAAAAAATTCGAATCTATCGCGTCAAGCCCTATTTTTCAGTTTCAGCATCCTCTTTCTTGCTGCTTGCTTCTGTTCGTACTTGCATTACTATTCAATAACGTTTTATTCTTGCTTTCAACCATGATCATCTTCAATTTCTAAGAGAATTCGACTGATAAGAAATATGAATTTTTGAAGTCCTTTGATGTTAAATTTTCTTTTTAACCGCGTCAGGGAATTCGCGCTGATTATGTAGTTTCGGAGATGGGTTGAAAAAGATTAGCAAGGAAAAGAAAACGAACTTGCAAACAAAAACCAGGGCTTGACACATGAGTTTGCACACTAACCACTACGCTATGGTTCCCACTAAGGCCTGTATGCACATGCATCCCCGCTGGGGAGCTTAGAGGATCTGAGAGGGGATGCGTCATATCTCGCTGCTCTACATTTCTCTCTTCTTCTTTCTCTATCTTGCTTATAGAGGTTCTCATAACTTTATACTTGCGCATAACGGATACCAAGTTACTGCCATACAAGATTGGTTTTTTGCCATTTTGTGGTGATCCCCTAGGGATTCCCAATTCCTTGAGAATTCCTAGGGGATCACCTTCTCATTTTCAAAGTGATTTATCCTCCTGGGAAGTCAATGAAAACACTGCAAGAAAAATTACTGAGGACATATTTTTGAGGTGGTGCATCGTTTACGATGTATTTAATAAATAAATAAATAAATAAATATTATACTACGGTACTGTTAAGCATGTTCGTGAGAAATGAGGTCTGAAAATTGTGAATTTTTCAATCCCTAGCCTGCAAGCAGTGTTCATCGGATATTTCACTATCCTGTAATTTTACCTGTTTTTATTATAGACATGCTTAGCAGTGCCGTATCATATCCTCGCTGCAATTTTACGAATCATTCTCCTTCGAATGATATACAGGGTGTCCCAAAAAATGTATCGAACGTTTGATCGTTGATATCTTTCTTCTCAACAAGTATTTTGCCTTGTTCCAGGTACCGCTTTGTAGAGCTGCCTCCAACTTAGATTCACAGTATGGAGCGAATCACCGAACGCTCTTCATTACTGTAGGATTACGGTAGAAACTTGAAACATAAGGTGTCAATGTGGAAAAAGCTACCGTTTCAAAATTTTTCAAAAAAGTGTGAAAACTAGTGTATTGGAGTTTTTATGGACGCTGAGTTCAATACTCAACTATTCACAAGATTACGAAGCTTTCTAAACGGTGTAACCGCACTCTTTGGGAACATTGAGAAAATGGCCGCTACCTCTTACCTGGCGTAACTCTTCAGTGAAGCATCATAATAAATTGGGAACTTTACATTCATAATCAACAACTCTAATTAGCCTAGTGTAAAAGTTTTCAAGCTGTTTTGTTTCCTTTCTGGGGCAAAATATCGCCTTTCATTGCTTTAAACCCTCTTTGAAGTTTCTACCGTAATCCTACAGTAATGAAGAGAGATGAGTGATTCGTTTTACAGTGCAAGTCTAAGCTGAAGCCAGCTCTACAGATTGGTACCTGAAGCAAGGAAAAAACTTCTTTAGAAGAGAGATAATAACGATCAAACGTTCGATACATTTTTTGGGACACCCTGTATTCGAATAATCGAATTTTCATTCGAATGGGTCCAAAGTATAGAGGGCATCCCTTTTCGGTTGAGATGCGAGGCTGGGTTTGTACTGATCCATAAGTTCTGAAACAATTCTAGCACGACGTACTGTTAGAATCGCTGTGCTGGAATTGCTTCGGAACTTACGGATTAGTATGAACCCAGCCTAAGACATTCGCAGAGCGAAAAGAGCATACAACAGTGTTGTTTTCCAAAATTGGCGTAAAAATCCATAACAAAATTTGTTGATGTAGTGCTCCAATCCGACGAAATAATTACGTACTGAGTCACACGCTTTGTGAGAATGTACAAATCGCCGCAGAAGTATGCCCATATACAAATAACTGGTAATTTAATCGTCGCGATTTCGTTGTTTCCAGCAATCGCGACGACTGAAAATTGCGACATAAAATTCTATGATGTATGCCTGGACTTTAGAATAATTACTTGATATGTTTTTAGTGTTATCCCATACAGACTACTCAATTTCCACAAAGACGTCGATAAACTGCCATATCTGATGAGGCGACCAGCAAATCAAGAAAGACATTGCTACAGCCACTGATAAAAGGGAGTATCATTCAAGAGAAAGGCAACAATAAAAATTGTCTACCAAGCAGTTTGTTCATTTTGTTCGAAGTTTTTCTAAAGCAATCATTCTCAGTATTGCAAGATGTTGAGTGCGCAGAAGCTGCAATTTGAAAGCACATCATTGCAAGCATTATCACTGTAAGACAGCCTGCCAGAAAAACATTAAAAGTACTCTATAACCAACCTGGCATTACATAAGAAAAAATAAATATTATAAGCGTGGTATGTATGACTAATCCTGAGACAACTCAGCCACATTTTTTATTGTCAATAGTTTCATTATCGCTCGTCTAACATCATGAATTGCAAAATCATGAAGATGCTTACCAAACCCTGACGATTCGCTATCTCTTGGCAAGCACGCTCCGGCGACTCAGTCCTGCAGTCTTGCTCGAGCCTTCCGGCAAGTAAAGCATGATCAAACTGAAGGCTACGAATCCTGGCTCCTGAAGCTTAAGTGTGGCGCTACTATTGGGACAGTCTCTACTTATCTGCCAGCTGCATGTGTTACAACCTAGAACAGCTCTAGCATGATGTAACTTCAGTCTGTACTTGGAAGCTTTTGGGACCTAATAATAGGGGGTTAAGAGTCGACTGACTTCGATTGCACGTGTGAGTATTTGCAAAATTTGTAGACAAAGTTGCATTGAGGTTTTGAGTCAGCTTTTTGCAAGCTACTGCCAACGTTGAGACTACCATATAGAACAAAAGTAATAATCGCCCTAAGACCTCAGGATGACATTTTGAAGAAGATCACCCTTCAATGGGGTATTCGTTTTCTGAAAGTCTACAGGCCCGACTTTCTGCGACTGCACGACTACGCGGCACATGCAACTTGACGGCGAAATTCTGGATCTGATCACTTTTTTCAGAGCTCCACAGGGTGGAATATTTGACTCCAAATTTTCAATATAGTAAGAAGAAGCTTTGAGCTCAATACTCATACTAGGAAGGGACAATTTTTGAATATCGGAGGCAAGTCAAGGGGGTCAGACACAAGCCCACAAAGGCTCAGGCAGCCTACCGCTTCAAGGGGTTGTACCTAATCCCATTAACCTTACGAAGCTGTTCAACTTTTATATGCTTCGCTAGCACAACTCTCGAAGATTCTACAGTAAGTGTTAGAATTTTGCAGCATTTCTTACTTCTTTATTTCAAACAGGCAAGCATGATTTTTAGCATGGATTAGAAAACATTGATTTGTTATGAGTATAGGAAAGCTAACTTTTTCACTTTTGAAACCAAGTTAATCACTTCGAAATCTACGAATTTCAAACGTGAAACACTAGAAAATGCAAAAGGTAATGGTTTGTAGAGCTCATAGAGCTAACTTCACATGCTAGTTACGAAAATGATACCCATTTTATACAGCAAGTTTCCTTGGTGACCTTATATTTATATTTATATAAATACATTACACAATTGTAATGCGCCATTTAAAAAGAAAACCATTTGGAAAAGAGAGTAAGACATGAAAGATGAGTATAGAATCGGGAAAAATCTGAGCTTTGGTTTCATACCACTTTTTAGTTTATAGAAATTCTAACGGTAGTTACATAATTATGCCTCATTGCACATTATCAAGAGCTCCAATCGCATGTTATTAATCGGCATAAATGGTGCTTTTGTTCTAAACAGCAGAGTAGAATGAAGTACTTGATGTAGTCAATCATTTTCGAATGGTTGCAGTTTATCCAATGGTCCATTTGACGATGAATCCATCCATCCATCCATCCATCCATCAGTCCATCGATCCATCAATACATACATACATACATACATACATGAGTTATTCTTTCCTTCATTGCTCTGCGTTAAGAACGAAATGAAGATCAATATATTATAGGAAGCTATCAACAATGTGTTATTGTAGTAGACCATAGGAGATGGAATGCCAAAATTTTTATAGTCCAACGGGTGTTAGACTATAATTATTATTTAATCGTTCACAGGAGAGAGTGTATTATGGAATGAAAGTTCAGAATCTAAGAAAAACGATCATTTTGCAAGCAACGTCACTCAAAAGAAAGAAATATAGTTTGTAAGAGGAATGAATAAGTAGATATTGATTACGTTTGAATATAGATTGTAGAAGCAAATAGAGGAGCTACAATATACATGATAATAGGAAGTGAATATATCGTTAAGTTTCTTCGAATGAACAGTGTACAGCTAAGATCCTCGCATCAATAATCGGTGAGCGCATTTAGTCGTTTTCTGGAAGCAAAAGAAAGTTGGGAGTGAAAAAAAATGAAAAGTAGTAACTTCCTTTGTCATATAGTAGGAGTAAAGGATCTTTATTTCTTGTCGTGTGTCAAGCAATTTCAAAGGGAGCTTTAGTTCATATCTGTAGTACTGAGCAGATCAAGTTTTTTGCAGCTTGTTTTGAAAATTTCACTATTTCTCGCAGTTATGGTATCTTTGGAAAGCCGGTGAAACCATCTTGTTGTCCTGTAAAACAGATTATTGAACATTTGCTGATATTTTCTACGTCGAATCCTGGGATGATGTAAATCAAAAGCTCCCGACCTTTCACTTGTAGGGATGAACGTCCAGTATTTACTGGCTTTTAGCTTGTTCTCTTTTCTTAAGACTTGAAAGCAAAAAGTAAGGTCGAATAAGACTCGTCGGAAAGTAAGTTTTTCCAAATGGAATTTTTGGAGGCGCTCTTCGTAACTGGGCGATGGATTTATCTCTGGTAAAGTGCGTCTAAAAAGAAGTCTTGTAAAAAGTTGTTGTACTTTTTTAAGTTTCTCAATGTGTTTTTTGCGGGAAGGTGACCATATTATCTAGGAACAATATTCCATATGTGGAAGTACAAAGGCTTTATAGAGTAAGATTAGAATTCGAGAGGAATTAGTATTGGTACTACGAAAAAGTAAAAATAGTGATGTGTATGCCTTTCTGACCACCATGTCAATATGTTCAGTAAAGCTAAGTTTGGAGTCAATCAGAACTCCTTAATCTTTCGCGATTTCACAGCTTTTTAGCATGGTGCCATTTAGGTGGTAACTAGGTGAATCATCTTTTCCAAGGTTCAGAACAGAGCATTTATGCAAATTAAACGTTGGATCCCAAGTCTCAGCCCAGGCACAATTTATCTAGGGAACTCTGCAGATTGGTCTGGATTTTCAATGCACTATCAGCATTGTAACTTCCATATATTTTAATGTCGTCAGCATACATTTGAACGCTAGTTTGAGGGGAAGTTCTCAAAGCATTTGGTATGTCGAGGATATAACAAAGGAAAAGAAGAGGAGATAAAACACCTCCGCGGTACATCACTAGTGCAGCGGTGTTCTTCAGAAAATTGATGACCTACTTTGACGGTCATACGATCTTGTAGGTAAGACCTCAGCCAAGAAAAGAGTCTTCCGTGAACTCCGAGATCATGCATTTTGGTAAGTAATTTGCTGTGACAGACTTTATCAAAAGACTTGGAGAGATCGACGTAGAAAATATCAACAGACTCTCCTTTATTAATTGCTAAACTCCAGTCGAAAACACTGTCAACAAGATTGGTGGTGGTAGAAGCTTTGTTAAGAAAGCCATGTTGTTCATCAGGAATCAAACCAAGTGATTCAACCAATTTGACAGCTTATCGCGTATAATCTTTTCCATAATTTTCATAGGTGTAGGTAGTAAACTAATTGGGCGATATTCATTCACAATAATTGCGGTGGTAGTTTTCGGTGTAGCGGTGACTATGGCTTCTTTCCATAGAATAGGCACTTCCCCCACCAACATCGAAATGTTGAAAATGTGAGCGAGTGAGGTAGCAAGCGATGAAGCACATCTAAGATAAACAATCTGAGGAATGCCATCAAATGTTTCAGTGATAGAAGACTTCAGTTTTCTTAGATAATGATGCACGTTAGATGGATCGAAGTAGACGTCATCACAACGTTTGCGAAATGGCACTGTAGTAACGTCGTTGAAGGGATTACAATGTACATTTTCAACTTCAGTAGAATATACACTAGCGAAGTGTTCTCCAAGACTTAGCTTTTTCCGCATCGCTAATGTAAAAGTTGCCCAAAGAATCTCTGAGAGTTGGAAGATGTGGGTTTGATTTCATTTTGCTTTTCAAGTACCAAAATAGATATTTAGGTGAATTTTAGCAGCCAGCTTTCGTTCACAGTAGGCAAATTTCTTAACGTGATGGTCTATATCAGCAGAAACTTTTTTATAGAGGGAATCAGAAAGGGGATTAGGCAGTATGTCAAGGAGGCGCTGTTTCTGAGAAATCAAGGCGTGAATATGTGCGGGGAGATAATTCACTTTTGCAGTCGGAAATTTCATGGGCACAAAATTTATGCTTCGTGGAGTGTTCTACATCAACGTTAAAGAAGTAGTTATCAAGAAGAGCGTAATCTACATCATTGAAATTAGGTAGGGGGATACAGAAAGAGGGAAGATCTCATGAACCTCAAAAGATATAATACAATGATCAGATGAACCAAAAGGAGGAAGTAAGATAATATTGGTAACGATAGGATGAGCCGACAATACTAAATCGAGGATGTTTCCGGCGTTGGTAGGGGAGCTGATGTGCTGCTTTAGTCCACAATTAGTTACGAAATCTAGAAAAGGAGCGGAGGCAGTATTCAAAGCCTTCATGGTAGACCAGTCAATCTGCAAGTTGAAATCACCAAGAAAGATAGTTTGGATATTTTGGCATGCGAAACAAATCAATAAGTCTATTAGTTTATCATCATTTTTACGGCTAGATCTGGGTGGGCGGTATACAGCCACGAACTGCGCACGAGAACCGTTAGTAGGATTTAGTATCTTGAAGGCAAGTACGTCAGCTTTGCTTTCTATATTGAACTCAACGTCATTAACCAGGATGTGTCCTTTGATTATGCAGCAGTCACCTCCACTTCTTCTATGCCCCCTATCAGACCGATAAAGAGTATGGGGCAAACCGAAAAAACTTCGGAGTCAGAAATTTTTGAAGTTAACCATGTTTCTGTGATGAAGACAATATCAGGTTTACGGTGACACAGAAAAATTTGCAAAAGATGTAGCTTATTATTCAGACTGCGCGCGTTGAACAAAAAGATTTTTAGTTTCTTAGAGTGGCTATCATTCATGAAACAATTCGACGAAAAGGATTCATCCAAGCATGATTTCAGTTTCTTGCTGGCGAACTTTTTATTTTAGGAATATCTGCCGCTTTTACCAACTATCCTCTAAAGACCACGTAAACCCTGTTTCCATTGTGATGTTCCATATTGAGACTACGTGCTTGCTCCCGCAATTCCCGATCCCGATTCATTTCTTCACGGGTCATCGACCTACGAATAAAAATTTTCTCAAGACCGGGGATGCTGCGAAGACGAGGAGCACTTTTTCAGAGTCTCAAAACAGAAAAAGTGGGATGGAAACACACATTTGATCAGGCGAGACTGGCCATTATTGGGTTTACTTAGTCTATAGATTTCGGGTCTTGCTTCGATATTCAGTTTGTCAAGGAACGAAGTGACAGATTTTTCTGTGTGTGCTTGACGTTCGGATGCTTTATCACTATCAACTCCGATAATCCATATATAACAATTGAGCGAGATCGTTTTTCGTCATTCAGAAGTTCCAGGCTAGCAGATTGCTTGACCAAGCTTAGCAAACGATTCAAAAGCGGTAAAGCCTCAGGGGCTTTATCCGACAGAATCGTATGCAGTTTAGTCAAGAGCATACCTTCCTCGCATTGTTCCTTGCTTTGCGCATCAGTCGAAGGTACCGATGTCTCAGCGGGTTCAGAAAGATTGTTTCGTTTCCTGACTTGGGCAGCATGGCGTTGTGAAACCATAGTGAAATAAACACGGCCGCTCAGGGTGAATCCACAAATGAAAGTGATATGTTAAGGTGGGAGATGGAGATTTGAATTTCGGCAGAAACTTCGGTTGTGGAATTACCCTCATTTCACGCGTATAGGACGGGGGGATTTTTTCTAGAATCGAACAGCACAGACATGTCGAAGGACTTCGCGACCAAAAAACTATCAAATGTGCTGCATATTGCCTGAGAGCGTGCAGCATAAGTCTCGTTTTCCAAAACATAACGGGGCGGTGAACGGCAAGCTTGAAGAACCCAAAAAGATGCGTTTTGTACGCGTGAAATTAGACTAATCAGTGTGCTGTTCACGACCATCATTCATTCAGTACTGGTGAGCTTGCGATGTCCACCAAATCAGCGCTTTTGTTCTTCATCCAATGTAGTTCCTCCTCTTTTTGGACGAGTTGGATTTGTAATTACGACAAGGGTTGAGCGTGGGTTCAGGCGTGCTCGACCTGGAGGTCGTATCGGGGTTAAGACTGAGGGGTTTAGAAAATTGAGGAGATACTACGATTAAGGTGAAGAAGAAAAGCGCTAGTCCGTGAATATCGCAACTTCACCAGTAATGAATGAATGAGTGCAAGTGCATAAAGATATGCGGCTTACGTGTGCAGTCTGGTTCGCCCCTAACATCACAAGTCGTCAACGATGGCAATATTTCGCATTTGAGCGAGGTAAAACCAAAGCCATTCTTTTTGGCCAGCAGAGCTGAGCCAGCTGGACTTTTTTGAAACAAAGTCACCGATCTTACTGCTACGGAAATCTGCATGCTGTGAATTTAACTCAAGGACTCGAACATGAAGCATGCCTAATTGAGAGGACTGATTTATGAAGAATTGGCTAAGTAAAGCGCTAGTTTTACGAAATTCAACTACGAAAAGACGAGGATAGAATATTCAACATCTACTGCTTTTTATGAAATCTACAAAAAAATAGATCAGTAACTATCAAGATCGCATTCATTTCGCTTCTGAAAAGTCATACTTACCGATCTTATGCTATAATTTTTCTGTGATAAATGTTATCGCGGCTGCTACAATGTGCGAGAACATTAACGTTAACATTCCCTTCCCCCCCCCTTTCCGCCTTCCCTTTTTCTAACATACTCATAAGAAGGGCTCCGACAAGGCAACATAAGGGAGCCTCCAGGCGCCGGGACCGCGCCGGTTGTCGCTTTTGCAGCCAGTAGCTGCTTTCGCGCCGATTGCCGCTATTGCAGCTGAAGCGCACAGTGTCGGATTTTGTCCTTGGAGCGTCGCGAGAGCCTATTGACACTAAATGCTAGGCTTTTCAACACTTTTGCCACCACTTTTTTTCCAAATTCCTCTTCTTTCCGTAAGTAATTCATGCAGGTTTTACGATGCTGGAGTAATCGATGTCGA